CCAAGCGCCGCGCACCACACACATGCATCGCATGCTCGAAGTACGGTAAAAGTGGGAGTGGGAGTGGGAGAGGGACAACAGCATGAAAGTCTGTCTGCCTGGAAGCGGGTGGAGTGGGACAGAGGGCAGACATCGTCGTCAGTCCGTCGTTGAGGTGCAAATGAATTGGGGCCTTATTCCGGAGTCTCGATTTACCTCGTTTCGGTCTCGTGTCGTTTCTGTTTTGTTCGTTTTGTTTCTCTTTTTTCGTCTTGATTTCTTTGATCGATTCTTCAATTATGGCAATTAGCCAACAATTTCGCTTTGCATGCGCCACGAATGCGGCGAAAATGTGCAGCAAGGCAATAAAACGAAGTCGCAGATGAAAGGCAAAGCCAAAGACAGAGACAAGAAAGAGGCCAAGCTACAATCAGTTTCGGTTTCGGATTCTATCGGATATTGCAAATCGAAATGGTTTGGTTTTGAATTAAGAATAAATAAGTTTACCAACACAAAACTTTTTGATGCATTTGTTTAAGGCTGTTGAAGCTCGTTGCTTTTATGCTGTAAGTTTTAGCGAAAGATGACGTTCCATGGTTAAAAATGTTAGCCCGCACTGGTCGGTCACATATTTTTCATGCCTTAAAAAACAATGAACTTTGCTGACTTATGGAATTTGCTTTCAATGCTGTGTGTATTTGTCTTTTAGTTCTCTAAGAAGAACTGAGCAGATAAATCAATCAACGGATTGCCTGTTGTCAAAGCACTTATCCAACACTTACAAAGTTTGTTCAGTTTTCGCTTTCTCTTGCCATGCCCTAAAGGGCATGCAAAAAGTTAGCAAACATAATCACTTTTAATACCAATGTTAAGGGTTTTAGTTACATCTTTAGTGGCCAGGAAAATAACTTCATTTATCTGCCATCCGCCATGATTGATCGTGAATCATTAATCAATATGGTTTAGCTTTAATGAACTGCATTCATAATCATCCATTTCCAAATCCCAAGCCCCGAATGAATCGATTCGCATCGCATCGCTCGCATCCCAACGCAGCGAATGAAGCTAAAGCGGACAGGTGGCGCTGCTTGCCCCATGCGGCGTATAAGTATACGTATACGTATACGTATGTGGTTATAGACAGGGTCGCAGTGGCAGTCGTGAATATTGCACGAGCCTTCTTTATGGGTATCGATCTCACGCCATTGGGATGCCAGGCCTGTCCGTGCCTGTGTCCGTGTCCGTGTCCGTCTCTCCGGACTGTCTGACATACATATTTGGGTTGAATGTTAACAGCAAAAATGTTCAAAAAGAGACGCAAAAACAAAGCAAACACAATCACAATCACAAGCTAAACTCCAAGCGAAGCCATGAATGCCTGACCACAGAAAAATCGGCAAAGTAAATGTCGCAATTAACATGTTTCTCATGCGAGTATGAGTGCACATACATACATATGTAAATATGTGTGTATGTACTTGTACTTGTAATGTAAACATTAATACACAGTGAGGCTTGGTGCAGAACAATACTCGCGATATTCTGTCCGATGAGCTAAGTAAATACTCAGCCTGACACGAATTGATTGTGATCTGGCTCTGAGTCTAACTCGAAGTCGGTGTCGATTAGGATCGTGTATCGTGTATGAAAGTCATATTTCGAAGGGAAATTTATTTATTTTCGAAACAGGATCACTCATGAACGACCAGGCTATGCTGTTTTGATGTTAAATACCCCAAAAATCATACAGGAACCCAAAGAGCTCTTGCCAGAAAAGAGATAGTGAGAGAGATATATTTAGTAGATATTTACTTTGGCCTGCTGTCTGGGCCAAACAATGATGCGGCTTTATGTGACATCTCAATTAGCGCAATTAGTGTCGAGACCTGACATCAGCATAAAACCAGTCGAATAGTTTTTTGTAGCGACAGACATGCCGCCACACACTAGAATGCCCAGTGTATATCCAACGCTTCTCAATCTGCCTGAAAAACACTTTTGAAGGTAGGCACTTCGAGTGCGCATGCGAGTCTCTTGAGATAAGAGAATTCTTTTATAAGTCTGCTTTTTCGGTTGGCAAAAGTCTGGCATAAGCCGGGTAGAATCCGATTTGGGAACTGGATAAAAAGTAACAAGTATATGCACCAGTGACAAGTAGTCGCCAATTGGCTATCGGTTGATTAAACCATCGGTGCTGCAGTCAATGCCACTTCAATTGTGGCACGTTCCCCGCATTCCGGAGACCATTCGAATATCATTCCAGGCAGATAAGTGCAGCTTCGGGCTCATTACTGATACATTCAACTGGTGGTGGTGCTGCTGCTGTCACTGCCAGTGCCAATAACTAATGACACGCTTGATTCAGTGATTCAGTGATTGAATGATTGATCGCTGGCTGTGCACTGAGCTAAAGATCAGCGACTGGCATTTAATTTGGGTCAGGCAACTGACCAACGGCTCCGCTCTGAGCTGTGAGCACTTTACTGAAAGATCCAAAGATTGTATATGCAGCTGCAGCTCTTGCTGCCCTTGCCGCTGATTGGCAGTAATTAGAACTGTCCAACAGTTGACAAACCGGCAAACACGGCACACAAGCGCCGCTTGCGTAACCAACCAAATGGAATGGCCATCAAGGCGACTCCGAGACGACCCACTTCTGGCGATGCCAGGCCAGAGAGTCAGTAGAGAAATTTTAGTTCACTCTACGAGTAGCTAGCAACAGATCTACATTGCTTTGCTTTAACTTTTTGGCATCCCCAAAGCAGTAATAGAAATATATTTTATATACAAGAACATCATGGACAGGCGGCGGCACCTGGGAAGAAGGCCCATGCCTATGACTTTCCAGGCTCACAACATAAAGATACCAAATATTTATGAGCATGCAAGCGGCACTGTACTGGCCATTGCTGGAAAGGACTTTGTGGTCATTGGCTGTGACACGGGTGTGTGCAGCGACAATGCAATTCTCTCGCGGACACAAACCAAGTTGTGTCCCATATCCGATCAGATGGTGTTGGCGACTGCTGGCTGCTGGAGCGATGCCGTCGCTCTGACTAATCAACTCAAGATGGAGCAGCAGTTCTACGAGCGGGAACACTTTAAGAGCATGAGCATCGAGTCCATGGCACAGATGCTCTCCGTAGTTCAGTACCAGCGACGTCATTTGCCCTACGATGTGTGCCCCATTCTGGGCGGCATCGACCAGGATGGCCAGGGGGCTGTCTATATCTATGACTGCATCGGCTTGTTGCAGCGTGAGGGCTACTGTGCTGAGGGTTCGGCCGGTGCCATGCTGCAGCCACTGTTGGACAGTCAAATTGGCTGTCACGAGACCGTGACCAAGGAGCGTGCCCTGTCCATTGCCAAAGATGCCCTCATCATGGCCGCCCGCAGCGATCAATACACCGGCGACTTGGTGATCATCAACATAATTACCAGGGATGGCATTGAGCTACACCAGATGGAGCTGAGCCAGAATTGAGCTTAGAATTTTGTTGCTTATACAAATTCTTCAACAATGTTTTAGTAAAATTATTTTGATTCTATTTGGTTCCATCATTAAACAAACTCCAGGGAGGACTCCAGCTGCCAATTTATGTATTTCTTTCCGCTTGCTTTCTTCCATTCGAATATCATTTGGCTTGCTGTTGGCATGGGGGCTCCTCCGTTGATTGTTTATTTAATTACGCAACTCGGAGCGGATGCACGGCCGCTGCAGTTGTGGCTTGACCAAAAGCGATTCAAATTCCGCTACACCGCCAGCACCGCAGGTCTTCCTCGGCCTGCCAAAAGCGGCAACCGCAGCAGCAACCGGCAACCAGCAGCAGCAACAGATACTCGTATGGCCAACCCATTTCCGCATGTCAACTGTGCAACAACTTCACTTCACTTCGCCCCAAAAGCACTTTGGTGAAATTTTCCAAGCGGCAGGGAGCCACCGGAACTGGGATGGTTCCAAAAGTTGGAGCTTGGAAAATACATATGCCGCTCGACTAACTGCAGCCGTGGATGGGGATGGTGATGGTGATGGTGATGGTGTGGATGGGGTTATACGGATTCCTCATAAATATAAGACTTGGCTTGTCTCTGTGGATTTTCATGGGTGTTTTTGGTATTTGATTCGTAAGCTCCAGCTTAGAAGAACGTCAAAGATTCATGAGTAGTATCTGTCGCCGTCTCTGATTCCGAATCTCTCCAGCTGCAGCTGAGTTTGCTTCAACTTTTTCTTTGGTTTATTGCCCAGCAATATATGTACATATGTATCTCTGTACATAACCCTGCACATATGTACTTATGCGTTCCATCGTTGGCGCGTGCAGGGAAAAGCCTAAAGGCACGTAGACATAATTTATTGCCAAATGCATGGAAGACTCAACTCACTCGCACTGGACACGCCTCGCTGGTCGCATTCGTGTCGTGTCCGTGTCCGTGTCCATGTGTGGAGCGTCATAGATACCAAAGATACTCGCTCCTCTCGCCCCCACTTGCTCTCCGCTCCCGAGCGTACTTTTCTTTTTCTTCAAGGGTTTCGGGTGGCAGATGGTGAGGGAGAGCCAAGCGGGACAGTAAATAGTCTAAAGAAAAATGTGCAATAATTAAAGCGTTTTAAGTGGAAAACGAAAGAAAGAAAGAAAAACAAAAACACATTGCAAGGCAAGCGTAAAGTTGTTACCTGATGGATGCGTCGGCAGCTTAACGAGTATTAATTAAAGTGAAAATGCCCAGAGATCGACATGGATATGGCTATAGATGCAGCCGCATGCGCACACCCATAACCATAGCCATAACCGAGCGATAGCCAGCCAAAGATTTGAGAATGCAGTTTGTGTTTGGTTATCCAACCAAAAAAGATGACAAGCCATGTGTCGTGGGGAGGAGAGTGTACGTGTCCGTGTCCGGCCAAGGGAGTGTCCGTTGGTTTTTGCAGGAAGAGTGACTGGCCAAGGGCAGGCATCTCATGATCTCAGAGTTGAAGCAAAGTTCTTATATTTATTACTATTTGTTTACTGTCTTTTCAGACATGTCATAATGGAGCCAATGACCATGCTGGTGTTGGCCTTCCAGCTGCTGGCGCTCTTCTCGATCGCCGGGGCGCTGCTCATCTATTTGATTTGCAAGGTGCGCGAGGACAGTGAGGCGGCCACCGTGGAGGCCCAGCCTAGCCGTGTGGTGCTGGTGACTAGCGCGGATACGGCCCTGGGGCTGCAGCTGTGCACCCATCTGGCCAATAAGGGATGCCGCGTGTTTGCCGGCATGAAGGAGGCCCACGATTCGCTGCCCGCCAAGCTCCTCTGTGGCTGGATGAAGATTCGGGAGTACAGCGAGGAGCCCATTGCCGGCACCATCATTCCAATGCGCCTGGATGTGACCAGAGAGGATGTGCTGCGCGAGGCCACCGTGGCCATGGGCGCCCATCTGAATGCTGACGAGCGCGGCATTGCCGCCGTGATCAACACCAGTGGCAGTGTGTTCCGGGGCCGCGTGGAGTCGCAGGACGTGCAGCAGTGGGAGCACATGCTGAAGACCAACATCCTGGGCACGCTGCGTGTGGCCAAGGCCTTTGTTGGCTTTCTCCGACCCACGCGCGGTCGCCTCCTCTATTTGGGCGGTGCCGGTGGCACGCGGACGGGCTCAGCGCTGACGGGCGGCGAGGGTTTGGTGGCCTTCAATGCATCCCGCGTAGCCGTGGACAAGTGCGCCGAGGAGCTGCGCAAGGAGCTGCAGCCGTACGGTGTCAGTGTGGTGGCCCTCGACACCTGCGGCATGACAGCCGAGTCCCTATACAAGGCCCCCGTGGCGCAGAGTGAGTAAAAACATTGCAGCTCCCAACTAATCGATTAACATTCTCGTCTCTCTTTTCTTTATCCGCATAGCCATGTCGGCGAGTGCCGGAGCACCCACTCAATATACGGCGGACGTTCTGAGTCCCAGTGCCCTGCAGGTGATCGAGCGGGCACTGTGGGACTTTGCACCGCAGGAGCGTTACACGCTGCTCAGCCACAACAAGTACCAATTCACGTTGCCATGCCGCTCCTCGTTGCGTCTACAGCGGCCGGCTGCAATCGAATCTGCGACGCAATCTGTTTAAATGTTGCACACCGATTCGTTCTTCTTCAGAGCGTAGCTGCCTCCTCCTGTACATACGTATCCCCCGCTGCAGTAACCTCTTCTGCTTCCGCTCCTGCTCCTGCTGTCGTCTAACAACGCTAACAATTATGTTTTTTGTTTAATTGATATTTTCTTCCTTTGGGAAGGCTTTTTATACATATTATATTTTATATTTTATACTCGTTTATGCATACAATCTGACGGTGCGCAAGAAACAAACAAAATGACAACAAAAAGCACTGACAACGATGCGCGCGAGTTGAAAAATAAATCTTTGTGCTAATCTAAAACATTCGATTGGTTTAGGAATTCTTTTGTGATGCGTCTGTGTGTGTGTGTGTGTGTGTGTGTGTGTGTGTGCTTAAGGGCACCTACTCATACTTGGATATGAAGTCATAGCGCAGCACTGAGGCGGTGTAGGACTCGCCGGCACTTGCCTTGAAGCACTCGGAGCTGCGTGCTGGCAGATGGACGAGCACATCGGCACCAGCAATGCTCTGCAAACGGCTGCTGATCTGTAAATAAAAAACTCATTTTAGTGCCTGTTAAAGTGGGTTCTATCTTATTTACCTGATTCCCATTGACGCTGGCATATAGTTGACCATTTTTGGAGGTCACCGCAGCACGCACATACTCTGGACGCGAATCCAAGCTGAGGTCTTGCGACAGCTGTCAGGCAGAGAGAGAAAAAACAATTTATTAGGGTATGCACCTGGCCACCAAACAAACCATTGCTCGAGCTTATCAGCCACTCACAACCTGGTGGCTTACAAAAACAAAGATAAGGGCCCCACTCCGAGGCAAACGTATCTGTAGTGCTGAATGTGAATGAAGTGGGCTGGGCGACAGATACGACCTACAGCAATTTATGCATGTTCTAGAACCATCAAAATGGTTCACTCCACTGTGACCCAATTTCGCCATTTGTTTAAATGGAAAGAGGCACACGCTCACCTTCACTTGAATGGTCGCCAGGGGACATTTTGTGCGCTCCCAGCCGGCAGACCAGCGGATGGCTGGCAGGGCAAACAGATGGAATGTGACAAAGGCAGAGACGGGATTGCCCGGCAGACCAAAGAAATACATGTTGTCCTTGCTGGCAAAGGTCATGGGTTTGCTGTTGATGGGAGAAGATAGAGAAAAACTTTAGTGCGAAGAGAGTCGAGGGAGAGATGCGAGCCATACCCTGGCTTCATGTTGACTCGGCCGCAGTGGATCTTAAATTGAAGCTCCTCCAGCGCTGTCTTTATAAAGTCCTTGTCGCCCATTGAGACGCCGCCAGTGGAGATGACAAATTCCACCTTCTCAAACAGAGTGACTAGAGAGGCCTTTGTGTCCGCCAAGCTGTAAAAAAGAGATTTGATTGAAATGAATGCCAGTCAGCCAGGGAGGGAGGGGAGATTCACTCACTTGTCGCTCACCACAACGGTGCGCACGCAATCGAAGCCAAAATAGAGCAACAGCTCCTCCAGCATCGTGGCATTGGAGTCGTACACTTTGCCGGGAACAGGCTGCTCTCCCGGGGCGAGCAGCTCGCTGCCCGTGGAGATGACAGCCACCTTGGGCTTGGGCAAGCGCTTGGATATGCCCACAGATGCCAGCAGCGACTGAATGACAACGGATGAAGCGTCCGCAGTGGGGAAAATGGCATCATTGATGCGCAAATCGTGACCAATGGGTCTGATGGCAGTGGGTAGATCGAAATGAATTGAATTCTGATGATCGAGCAAAGCTACAAACTCACCGCACATCCAATGCCGCCTGGGGCTCCACCATTATCTCCACCAGACTCTCTTCTCCGTTTTTGTCGCGACTAACCAAAAGTGTGTCCTCCACCTGGACCACACAGTCCGCTTGGTCGGGCAGTGGGGCGCCCGTGTTAATCTTGAAGCATTCATCCTCTTCCAATGGTTGGGCGCTGGGCTGCAGATGGAATTCGTTTGGAGTCGACACTTCCTGTTTAGAACAGATACTACTTACCGCATCACCGGCGGCTATGAAGCCCACGACACGCTTGCTGCCGGAGAAGCCGGTCGATTTCATGGCATAGCCATCCTTGATGGAGGCACGAAATGGTGGAATATTCACCGGGGAGGTCGTCTTCCAGATGTCATCGTCCAAGCTGCTGCGGCGATGCACCACTCCGAATATGATGTCCAAGACCGCCGAGACGGGGAGCATAGGAAACGGCGAGTTGCGATCCCTGCCATCGCCAGATCCTGTCTTGTGCGGGCAGACGTGAATCTGGGCCTGCACCGTCTCTGTGCCCTGCACTTGGGCATGGGTGCGCTGCACCAGGGCCAGGTCGTCATTGATCAGATGGAGGGCATGGGGTAGTAGATCCTTCACAGTGCCAAAGCATTCGGCCACCGCCTTCTCACTGCCGGGAAAGTTCATGATCAGGGTATCGCCAGCGATGCCACAGACTCCACGCGACAGAGCCGCAAAGGCGGTCTTTTTCAGCGAGGCGAGGGCTATGGCCATCATCAACTGTGTGCACTCCTTGTCGATTAGCGGCTTGGTGGCCTCGGGCGTCACATCGCGTGGGGCCAGACCTGTGCCACCTGTGGTGAAGATGACGCCAACATCCTTCCGATCGATCCACTCGCGCAGCTCGCTCTGTATGAGGTGTTTTTCGTCGGGCACAACGCTGGCGATTACCCGAGCATTCCTGAAGGTCTGCATAATCTGGGACACCAAACGCGGACCGCTGCGATCCTTCGAGCGGTCGTTGTAACAGGTGTCACTGACTGCCCCAAAACATGAGAAATGTTACCGCAGACAGCTGGCGACAAGCAAGAAGCTACTCACTAGTTAAAACACCGAAAGTAATGGGATCCATTATGTCATTGGCATTCCTAGTTAATCGCCAACTGCTCGTTTCCTCTTAAATATTGTTTACAAATTGTTTAAAAAGCCTTTGGCACTACCGCGGATTTATCTATGAAATATACCACACGACCCTTAAAAATATACCGAAATATACCTACTCATTATCAAAACATACCGTAATCTTAAAACGTTTTTGTCGATTTTGATATTCTTATTAGTATTACCAGCTAGTTAGAATACTCAGCACTAAGACTATAATTTAATCCGATTTATGAAACAATTCTCAACCGGATATGCTACTTTTCATGACTTTCTTTCAATGAATTATAGAAAAATTAGGGATCAAACTAAAAAGGTCAACCAAAAGAAATAGAACAAAACGTTACTAAGTGGGCATGAAATTTGACCACTTGTTGTTTCTATACCCAATTTTCAATAAAAACGACTTTGTCTTAGACTGACATGTTTTACTACTCTTCATATGTTTTCTATGTATATATAAATATATCTAAGAATAGATGAGTAGTAGGTTTCCTTATTTTGTTTCATCTTATCGATGCTTTTATTGATGCACTGGTATTTTGTCGGTATTCTTGTGCGAAATCGAGTTGGAACGTTTAACAAGACTGTAAAATCGTCTTGCAGCACTGGCCGAAAATTCATTAGCAATTTTAAATTCAACTGAAAGGAAATTCTACCTGGTCAAGTGGAAGTTTGGTGTTTACATTTATGTTTGTTAATTACTGATAAGACACTGTGTGTGGTGCTTCCATCCAGCCATTATGATCGTAGAAACATAAGGTATTGCATGTACATTTACATACGAAATAATCGCACCTACTATGCCATGAGAAATGTGTGGTATGCAAGGAGATGGAGAAAACAACCGACAGCAGCCTTCCCTTCCAGGCCCAGAGCTATAGCTCGTGGAATGTGGCTAAGCAAGTTGGAAGCCGTTGCGACCATTGATATCGTTTGCTTGTATCGTTTTTCTTTACCTGTGCATCAGTGTATGTGTGTTTGTGTGTAACAGGAGCTGTGTCTGTGTGTGCGTATGCATGTGCCGATCAGGTTTGTTGCACAGTGGGCCGCATTCGGGCAACGCAACTTCCTTGCCATGGTGTGGCACCCAATCAGGTTACAGCTTGGTCTTTGTCCACTGTGGCAGCGATTGGCATCCACACTGGCATTGGTATTTTTGTGGTGTCTGCCGTTGGCTCGTACCCTCTCTCACCTGCACATTCACGTCTGTGTGCCGTGCCGCCCGTTCACTTGTTAACTGGTTGTGCGAATAGGTGGCATCGGATCGGTCCCCGGCGGCTAGAATCAGCGGCTGATGCGACGCGGACTACGCGCCCCGACCGATAGTCGTAGTTGTCATTCGGTCGTTGGTTGTTGATGTTTTTCAAAATATACCATATCCATGCATTTACAACATATAAAATAATCATCATCCACATCGTTCATTTGACGCCTCATCAACTCAACTGAACGGCCGCGGCGGCGTAGTTTCGTTTTGTTTGGTTAATCTTCGTATTAGCATTGGAGTTGGAGACGTCTTCATGCGGCAGCCTAAAAATTGATTTAACCCACATTCATTACCAATTAGCGGAATGTTTCGGTTGTTTTTTTTTTTGTGATTTGAGAATGGCCGCCATGTAAATGTCACAGGCCAGGCCAAGAGGCGGAAAGGAAATTAAGAAACACCAAAAACAGAATACAGCGAGGTAAACTTGTTTTACAACCTGGGACTTGCAATTTTCAGTTCCCTATCTGTTTTGTTTTATTTGTGTAGTGCAAAATTGTGATAAATTGTGTAAAAATACGAAAACCGTTTGCTCAGCGGAATATACATATGCACATGCATACACATGCACACATGTAATTTCCGAGTAACTGAAATCAGAGTTCCATAGAATATGTGCAGTTTTGTGGGAACCAAAACGATCCTAATGCATGACTCTCTCTCTCTGTTGTGGTTGTTGTTGTTGTTGCTGTTGTGATATTTCCACTGCAAGGCAGAAGAACCGTTACAGGGCACCAGCGCCACTCTTGGCATCTCGCTTCATTCCATTGAAGTTTCCATTTCGATGCAAGCATCGTGAGAGAGTAGTTAGCTCTCTTCTCCTTTTGCTTTTCTTTTGCTTAAACACAAGACTTAATTCTGTAAAAAGTTCTCCGCCAACTAATTACTCAATATAACCACACTAATGCTTTTTTTTTAATGCCATAATTTATGGGAAAGTGGAAAAGGCATGTACTAAAGTGCAGCAAAAGAAGGAAAAAGAAAACGGCAGAGGTTTTTTATACGATTCAAATTCCATTGCAGATAGAAATCGTTGCATCTTTGGTTTATATAGTGAATCATCCAATCCATCATATCTATCAGTCCATCCATCCATCCGTATAATCCACCTGCTCGTTTCGCTCAGGATGTCTAGCGCAGCAGAGTCGGATGCAATCGTGGCGCCATCTAGCGAGCGTTGAACCGCACTTGAAGCCAATTTACAGGAAATGCTGAAACACGCCTCCAATGCGAGCAGTGCCCCTGCCTCCGCCTCCGCCACCGCTATCGCTACCGCCACACTCCCCGCCTCTATCAGCGCCCCACTGCCCGTGCCAGCGGTTGCAGTCGCTTTGCCGCTCAATGGACAGCTGCTGCGCACCGCTTCAGTCTGTGCCAACAGTAGCACCAGCAGCAGTAGCAACAACAACAACGGGAATGGGAATGGAAACGGAAGTAGTGGAAGCGGCAACAACACACCCTCCGTTCCAGTAGGGGTAGCAGCAACAGCAGCGGCAGGAGGAACGGCAACAACCACCACCACAAATGGCTCTGGGTCAGCGACAGCGGCTGCGGCAGTCGGGGCAGGTTCTCCAACACCCGCAGCAGCTGCCTTGGCGTTGGCCAGCACGGCACGCAACATTCACCTGCGACCGCCCCAGCCACAACCCCTGAACATAACCGCTCTGAACGCGTCCACCTGCAGCACACTCCTCAATGGCGGTTGCCGCGTGGCAAATGGAGCATCCTCCAATCTTCTTAACATTGCAATGCCAACTACGCCAACGCCACTGAAACCGCTGACACCGTTGACGCCGCTCACTCCCAATGGACACTGCAACAGCAATGGGAGCCTGCACCATCACACCTACACGAACCAGCACATGCTGGCAAGCAGCCACCAGCAGCAGCAACAGCAGCAGCAACAGACACTGCCCTTGCCGGCACAGCCGAAATTGTCGCACTCCCTGATGCAGCCACAATCGCCGATGTCGCAGTCGCAGCCGCAACATCTCAGCCAACTGCAGCAGCACAATTACAGCAACTGCAACAATCTGACGGGGAATCATCCCCAGATGCTCCAGAAACTGTCCAAGCCAGGACCATCGCCTCGCGAAGCCCTCACCAGCCTGGGTCTGCTCTGCCTGAGTGAGTGCCAATCGAGAGACTACCATCTGACCATCTGACCATGTGACCTGATGTCCATCTGTTATCTTTCTAGGTTCCCTGCTGCTGGCGTTGCTCTCGCTGATCTTTCTGCTAAAGATCTCGCCGAATGGGCGCGACGATGCCCTGTCCAGGGGCGTGAGCAGCGAGGATTTCATTATTGTTTACGACGTGACACTGGCCCTGTGCGCTCTCTCACTCTCGCTGAATCTCTGCTGCCTGCTCGTGTGCGCCATCCAGTTCCTGTTTGCCGTCAAGCTGCGTTCGCCCGCCTTCGAGGGGCGCGACAACAAGTATCTGGAGAAGTCGAGTGCCAGTCGCACGTGCGCTGTGAGCGGATTCTTCATCTCCATACCGGTATTCCTCACCGGCATCATCCTGTACACCTTCAATCACTTTCACTCGACGCCCGCCATCATCACCAGCATACTCATTGGCGTGGGCATCGTTTTTTGTGGCGGCGCCATGGTCCACAATGTGTTTGTGTGGCAGAAGGAGAAGACCATTAGCTATCGGAGCGCCCCGCTGCACGGTACTCTTGTGGGATCCCTGCCACACAACATGTCGCTGCTTTCAGCCGCCCAGTTGCCACTGCCCCTGCCCCTGCCACATACCTTGTCACCAGTGCAGTTCCATGCTGGCTCCCCGCCGCCACTGGTCCAGCCACAAATGCAGGCCCTGTACCAGGGCCAACATGCCTGCATGCTGCAGCCCACCTCGGTGACGCCTGTCTCACCGAATCACTCGCACGGCAGCTTCAATCCCCTCCTCTGCAACAACATCATGGGCGGCGGAGGTACAAGTGGAGGCGGAGCCATCAATTCCTCATTTCTTGTCCGACCGTCTACGGCAACGCCACCCACGCCAAAGCCCCTCGGCGGGGGAGCCGGAAGCTGTCTGGTGGGTCGCGAGGCCAGCGGGTCAGTCAGTCCGGGCATCCCGCCCACGCTCGACATGAGCAACATCACAATATCGCTGCACGAGCTATCCACGCTCGTCTAGACGGTCACAGCACACCCAATCCACTCAATCCACTGATATTAATCACTGATTTTAGACATTAGCTAGCAGATAAAATCATAGCCGTAGACGACCACGACCACCGTACAACGTTGGACACCCTTCTTGCCGAAAAAGAACAATTGCTGTATATATTTGTAAATATCTATATCTATATAGCCTTAAGTATCGACATAGAAGTAAATTAGTTTTAGTTTTAAATTCAAATTTAACCCGCACATTCTTTGGCTTAGTTCCTTTCTTGGGAGCAAGTGGGCGCCACACAGTAAATTCAAGATTTTGTAAATTACCGTACCGTTTCTTTAACTACATGTGCACTTACATCCTAAATGTACAATTAATTTGTCGTCGCTAGGTGTCGCACTGTGGCAGTTGCTTTTGACAAGTTGGCAGCTTCAGCGAAAACTACGATTCTCGCAACGCGTTTCGTAATTAATATTAATAAATAAAGAGCTACTATAATTATAACCAACAGAGCCTACCATGGTCACCACGCCAAATACATAGGTACATGCATAAACATTTAGAAAGCGTACAAAATCAGTCATAAATTTGGTTGTGGCTTTTTTTCGACATCGATATCGATCAATTATATCGAGACACGCGATAGATTTCAAACTTTAAATACATTCTCAACACCATTAATTGGAACTCTTTATTTGAAATTCGAAACACTTCTTCCGCTAATTTTAGCAATTTTCGGTCAATAAAACTATAACATAAGTACCTGGTCAATGCGGACAAATACCAAATAAAAAAAAACTATAACATAAACAAAACGTAAGCCCCCATCGCGGGAGGCGGGAGGTAACCATGAAATAATACAAGAGCATGGTCGAGGTCTCTCTAATGTCTGCTCGTGGTTGTGGTGTGTGGGTGTTGTTGGGTGGTTCATCTTCTCCTTAAATTTACTTCTTGGACTTGCCATCGTCATCATCCATAATTTTAGGTCTGCCGCGTTTCTTGAGGGGCACATTGGCTTCGCTGTTCACTGGAAACGAGAAAAATAACAAAAAGGATCAGTGATCATTGATCAGTTATCAGTGTGATCAGTCATAAAGTCTTACCCTGCTTTGGCGTTGGTGTGGCTGTGGCGGGCGATGATACGGAATACGAATCAGTTCGAATGCGACGAGGACGTAGCTCGCGTCCACTTGTCTCCGGTATGGGGGTGGTCGAGGGCGACGGCTGGTGATCGCTTTGACCCGAGCTGAGGCGTCGGCTGGTGCGTCGCACCGGAGGCACTGACGTCAGCTCGGCAGCTTCGGGCAACTTCTCCTCGGCTGTGCTTCGCTTCCTGGTCTGCTTTTTGCTATTCGACTTCACGGGTGGCTCGCTGGCGCCACGAATCTGTCGGCGCTCAGTTGTTGTCTTGGTTGTCGACTGGGGAACCGTGGAGTGGGCTCGCTTACTGCGCGACGATTTTGCTTGAGTGTCCGTCTCCTGCTCTGGCTCTGGCTCTGGCTCTCGCTCCATGATGAGTAGGTTGCGCGCACGCGTACGCACACTTGATGGGCTACGAGAGCCCAGAGATTTCTGCTCGTCGATCACCTCCAGCGAATACTTGCGCAGTGCCGCATGGCGACGCTTAGGCGTGGACACGTCTCGGTCGAGGCTGCCTGCAGAGCCACTGGGCGGACAGTCATCACTGCGTAGGCGCACGCGTCGCGTGGCCTTTGGTGGCGTTGGCGGGACTGGACTGTTCACAGATTTGGTTCGTGGGCGAAGCGCGCGTGGGGCGACTGGAGCAGCGGCGGCGGCGGCGGTTGCACCTGTAGGAGCACGTTCTTCCTCATCGTCAGAGAAGGCCAACGTGAGACTTTGTTTGGAGTCGTCATCATGTGCCACCGTCTCCGGATCATTCACGGCCTGCTGCTCCTCCTTTTGCTCGCCTTTTGATTCAGATTTCTCCTCGTGGTCTGCGGAAACTTCCATCTCCAGCTCAAGCTCCATATCCTCCGCAATCTCGGGCAGCGGAGCCAACGGCAACTTCTTGGCGGCTGCTGCAGCGCCAATGGTTGTGGATTTTGAAGAGGAATCGGATCCAGAGGCCGTCGGGGATGGTGAGGTGGATAAGAGCGTACCGGAGCTGGTATTTGATCCAGAATCGGATCCCGTTTCAGTTTCAGTCTTGGCTTCAGCTTCAGCTTCGGTTTCGCCTTCAGCCTCGGACTCTGCGTTAATTTCAGCCTGAACCTCGAGCATAATGTCATCCTCTTGATAGGCCTCCTCCTCACTGCTGTCCAGGATGACAATTGATGGAGATGTGGCCGTGGCTCCAACGGAGAGCGAGGGACCGTTCCCGGAGGCGTGCTCCTTCTGTGTGTCATCCTTGAAGGCGAACAGTTCGGCACTGCTGGATGGCGCAGATTGGGGTGTGGGTCGGGCCACATAGCCGCCCACCCGAGTACCATCGAGGGCGATCACACAATCGTCCTCTTCCTCCTCCTCCAGAGAGCCCTTGGTGGTGTCCAGATCGTCAACAGTCTCGAGGCTATTGGCCCGGTACAGGGCAGGCGGCGAGCCACCAGTGCCGCGCATTGCCTGCGGACTCGAGTTCTGCGACACATTCGTGTCGCTGGGCAGGAAAGAGGTGGGCGTGTGGGTGTGCGTGACCGAGCGCGATGTGGTGACGGAGGCCGTGGATTCGATTACAATTGAGTACATGGCATCGCCACTCTGCATCATCTCCGGCATGAAGTGTGCCGAGGACATGCATGACATGCTGCTCAGGCTGAGGGATGGCGAGGAGCTGCGCTCCTGCGGCGGATCATCGGAGCTGCCCATGTATGTTCGATTTAAGCTGCTGGGCCTCGGCGCCAGCTGAGCATCGTCATCCTGAGTCTCTTGCAGATACTCCTCCATTAGTTCTTCGTCCTTTTCCTCCTCCTCCTCTTCTTCCTGCTCGTGCTCCTGCTCCTGCTCCGCCTCGTCCTCGTCGATCTCCTCTAGTTGAATCTCTTCCTCTTCATCCTCGTCGGTCACCTCCACCACTTGCACTTGCATTTCATGATCAGCATCCTCGTTTTTGGTCAATAATTGCGACTCCTCCCGCTGCTCAGGTGCCGTCACATCGTATGTGGACATGCCCAGAGTGGTGTCCAGCATTTGTAGCTCCTTATGCTCTTGCTCCTCCAACCGAACCGACGGCGACGAGTACCAGTCCGTTGTGGCTGACTCTGGCTCCGTCTCGTCCATCTCGCCGCAGATGGTGGTACGCTCAGAGATCTTCACAGAGGTGCTGGCGGTGGCTGTGGCGCTGGCTGTGGAGGTGGCTGCACCAATGGAAAATGTCGACTGGGCACCCATTTTCGAGGAGCAAACAGTGGGAACAAACTCGTGGGATGCCGTCTCGGCCGTAAGGATGGAGGCAAAACTACCAAATCCGCTACTGCTCTCGCTCCTTCCCGCTTGAATGAGCGAGCTGCGGGGCTGGGGTCCAGCCGGCGGAGCCTTGGGTCGGACAATCGTCTCATGTGTTGACTCTGGTACCTTCAATCGTGGACTGACCAATGAAACATGTGGAGTAGTTAGCGGCGACACAAACTCATCCTCCTCCTCCGACGACGACGACGACTGGTTGCTGTTCGAGTTGGGGCGTTGAAAATGACTGGCCGATTCGATCTCTACAATGATCTCGTCAGTCTCCTCCTCATCCTCGTTCTCATCCACCTCATCTGCCTGTTGGCGCAAGCTGTCCACATCGACATCCTTAGAGCCATGGCCTGGCAATGGCAATGGCTTTGGCGGCATGAAGCGTAATCGCTTTGCCTCCCCCATGGACGTTGAGGTGGCCATCGGCGGCGTACCTTCCACTGCCTCGAGAGCCGTTCGACGCTTCAGTATGGTCAGCGGCGGCGTCTTCTGCTGTTGCGGCGTTCTCTTGAGACGCAAATACGATGGCAATTGCAGCAGGTCATTGGCCTGTTGCCGCTGCTGTTCATCGTCGTTCCGGTCTTGGTCCGTTTTGGGATTCAACTTATCACCAACAAAGTCGCACACACCCTCCACAAACTGTTCGTTCAGCAAGCGGCGGCGCTTCGATGGCTGCAGGATCGTTGACTGGGTGGCGGTGCAGTTGCCTTTTCTGTTGCCCGTGCCGACGGTTAGCTCAGATTCCTCCTGCTCGCGTACACGCTTTTCCACCGCCTGGTGGGGCACGGGGCGCACTGTGCGTCGACGATGTGGCAGCTGGGTGAGGCCGTACAGCGAGCTCCGCAGGAAGGGCACCTGGTGGCAGGGCATTGGTCCTTTTTCTTTTGGCGCTAAATCCGTGTTGTAGAGCGTGGCCCAGCGTGCGCCGAGGGCAGAGCTCTGGAAGACGCCGCCCCGCAGTCCACTGGCATAGTCCCTGGCCAGCTGACAGCTAAAGGGCACCGGATGCACGTTCTCAGCCGGCGCCACGTCCAAGTTCTCGCGTATGCGAAAATAATCACCGGCAAGGGTCTGCGAAACGGGATTCATTGTTGAGCGGTAGGCATAGATGATCGCACGGCTGGACTCATCGGCAATCTCCCGCTCGGCGGCCACCTTATCCATGAAGGAGACCGCCTCAATGTACTTGGACTTTTGCAGCAGCAAAATCAACTGAACGCTGTCCGTCAACGGTGTCCTGCACTCCCTGAGCAGGCGCAGGGCGAGCTCCTCCTCCGTGTCGCGCAGACACAGCTGGGCCAGCGCCTTGAACTGGCGCATCTCATTCGATTGCCGGAAAAAGTACTCCAGCAGCGGGCGGCCCGTTTCATCGTCGTCATTGCGGCGTGCATACTCAAAGGCCTCGGGTATGTTCTTGCTGGCCATGAGCACCTTCAAGCGCGTTAGCGAGGCAAGCGGACCCGGTGGTCGATACACCACACTCATGGCATCCGAAATGGCGCCCTTGGCCAGCAGCGCCTCCACCAGCAGCTCCACATGCCAGCTCTGGTATGGATTATCGGGGCACAATGAGCTCGACAGCACTTTCATGCATTCCTGCATGGGATTAGATGTTAGATTGGATGTTCTATAAACTCTGAAATCAACACTTACCACATGATTATCGTGCTCCAGGTGCCAGAGTGACTTGACACGCGTCACGAGCTGCGTTTTGAGACTGAAGGAGGCCTCAAATCTGTTGCTAAGTTTCACGCCCGACGTCTGGACAACATCCAGATCGTAGAGCAGATACAAGATGACCTCGTGCTTGTTTTCCAAATCGGTGTTGAACGCCAACATCAAATGCATGAGAAAGTTCAGTGTTCGTGGTGGATAGGTGAGGGCCACGGCTGCACCGCCGCCCGTGTCCTGGCCAATGCGACGCAGCAGGCCATTGATGTATCGATTATCACCCACAGACGTGTGTCTATTGGCGTAGATAGATTGTAGCTGAGCCAGAGCCGAAGGCTGATGCTGATCTTGCTCCTGCTGACCCTCTGGCACCAGTCCCCACTCAATGAAGAACAAAAGCACTCGCTGATAGGTGTAAAATGTGCGAATCCGCTGTGCATTATCCTCGATTTCACTGATGATCGCAGGCGCCAGGCTGCGCTTGCCCAAGTTCACAATGAACGCCTGCAGGTTGTCCAAATTGCCCAGCTGGCCATTGAGCACCTTGAGCTCCTTGCGCTCGCGCTCGTCCAGCGGATAGCCGCCGTAGTCAAAGATGTTTTCGCACAGCTCCGAGCAGCGCGTCTTTGTCTGCGCGGCGCGCTTCACAATCCAGGCGGTGAAGGTCAACAGTGTGAGTTCTGTGGGAATGCACAGGTTGAACATGTAGCTGCCATCGATCCAGCCCTTGGCACAATTCTTCAGTAATCCCATGCAGCCGTGCTCGAGGGCCACCGACAGGATCTCCTCATAGATGGCCCGCTAAAAGGGAGACGAACCATTAGTACAATTTATGGATGGCATGTATGGGTCCTACCTTGGAGAATGTGGCATCGGGATTTAGCTCACTGAACTGAGGCATGAGACGCAGGCGAACAATATCCGCGTGTGTGTCATCCGCATACAGAAAAATTGTGGCATTCTGGCCCTGCAATTTACGCAGAAAGCGATGCTGCGACCCCACGTTGACATGGTACTGGCCACCCCTAGCGGTAAGCAGGCACAAACCTAAACGAAAAAGATGCTCTAAAAAGTGATTTGCCCAGATGCTCAGTTAGTGTCTTACCAAAGGTCAATGAGTTCGGATAGAAGTGCTCATCGTAGCGCTGCAACGATATGAAATGCTTAATTGATCTGGCGTTGAGGTGAAAGCCGAGGCCTGGGTCCTTGCCAGTCAGCGTGTAGCCGACCACAAAGTAGGGCTTCTCATCGAGCAGATGCCGGCAGTTGGGCATCTCGTCCTTGTACCACTGATTCATGTCGAAGAGCACCAGCTTGTTCGTCTTCTTCGGGTGCGAGTACCAGCCGATGATGACCAGCAGGGTGCCATTGTCGCCCGAAAAGCTGAATGTAGAGGCCGTTGTGCAGCCCAGCACTGAGATATGGCCTTCATCGAGCATCAGACGAGCGCACGTTTCGGTGCTCTTGAAGTTCTGTGGAAGTGGCAGGCAGTTCAAAGAGTGAATGCCCCGAAAGAAAGCTGAAATATGTCGATTTATGCTTGCTTACCTTAAAGTAGAGTTCATTGCTCTGTGCATCCTCATAGGAGTGTCTGTAGTGGATGCAGTGGAGCAGAGCTGTCGTCATGCTGGCCCCACTGTATATGCCGAATATGAAGATGCACGGCTTGGGATCATCTGGCGGCACAACATCACAGAGTCGCTCCACACTGCAAGCCAAGTCCGCCGGGGGACGTATCACTGTGGTAATGTGAAAACTCTCCAGATCGTAGATCACAATGTGGCCATCCTTGAGGCCAACGGCAATGCCAGTGATGGAATTAACGCAAATGAGACAACGCACCTCGCCCTTGGCCACTGTGCCGCCGAAAGTTAATCAAAGAAGGAAATAGAATTAGAAATTAAAGTCAAAAATCATCGGAAAACAAAACTAAAACTCACCATCCAACTCCACTGCCAAGTGGCCGTCGTTGTGGCATTCCTGCAGCCAAGTGTTTATTTGGTCCATGGAGCACTCGGAGGAGTGTCTTCGGATCACCTGCCCACATTCGGTCTCACTCTGTGGGAGTCTTATGTTCTGACTGCGACTTGTAATCAAAACGCTGCGTTTTATATCGCAGAGTAGAACCGCTCCCGAATCGGTGCCCACCGCCAGGCAGCCATCAAAGTTTTGGAGGCGGGTGCGCTGGCGGATTCGGGTGTCCAGAAATGTGAGGGTGCTGCAGTAGAGGCCATCCAGGTCGATGTAGCGCAGCACCTGACTGTAATGTGTCGACAGGATGGCAATCTGTGTCTGGGCCTTGTCACAGTTCTCGGGTTGGCTCTGTTTGTCGCTCCACGACTCTAGGCAGACGGCGAGCAGTGTCATGCCGTCACTTTGGCCCGGAAAGAGTTCCTCCACACATCGGATGCTGCAGCGCTTGCCACCGTTTTCCACTTCCCTCCAGAATACGTGACGCATGATGCAGTTGCCATCACTCAGCGTGCAGATCACCAGAGTGGCGTCCTTGGCGTACCTGTTTGTCATCCATCCCCACTGGCCGCCATAGATGATGCCACCAAGGTAATCGGCTGCAAGCAGGCAGGATTATAATAGGAAACATTAGAAAAATTATAAATGGCGAAAAGCAAGAAGTTTACAAATTGTTGTGGACCCACAGTCCACGCTTTGTGTGTATGTCTATAACTGTGTGTTCTTTGTACTTACTGCGGTCGTCGCGCCCAAGAATTGCGCGGTCTGAAAACTGTGAGCTTTGTTTCTCGTCTACTTCAATTTCGCACCAATCCATTTTTACTATACAATCTAGGTGCACACTAAACAATAAGTAAAGTCAGATCAAAAAAAAGGGGCCGCTAAAAAAATCAGGGATGATATTCGTATGAAACCGATAAGAAATTGTTGTGCCAGGCAGTACTCAGATCGACAAAAAAACAGGCCGAAATAATCTAGAAAGTCAGACGATAGTATTTTGTGGTATCGATAGTATTTGTGTGGTATTCGTTGGTATGTTGCTAGCAGCTCGAAAAATAGAGATATGTTTTAATTTCCGAGAGGGTTCCTAGCAAACAGAGAGTATAGTCTCAATCATATGGAGGCAACTATGGTAAAATTACTAACAAGGTGTGAGTTGTGCAGGTGTGTGAAGTGCGACCATATACCGAAATATAACTTCTCATTTTGCAATATGCCAAACTATCCTTACCTACTAATTATAAAAATATACCGTAAAATGTATGCCATTTGTCATGCCATTTGTCTCGATTTTGATGTTCTAATTTATATTAATAGGTCGTTAGGATTCTCAGCGCTAAAACCACAATTTTATCCGATTTATCAATTAATTATCCCTAAAATTGGCTAGTTTTCATAACCTAATATTACTGGAATGTTTAAAAGCTAATTTCAAAACTAAAAAGGCGAGTGAATTTATTGAACTGGCTGTTAATATCAAATATAACATCAAGAGTGGAGACAATTATTCAGGATTTGGTATGTTTGCGGTATTGAACATGAGAAGGTATATTTGGTATATCTTATCGATAAATACACGAAGACGTCGTCATTCGCAAATTCCAACAAAGTTTATACTTCTATTTCTGTTTCCCAGCTGCATATCCAATATCCAACAGCCCCCAAGCAGACGACCCACTGCATCCTGTGAGCGTCAAGAGTTTAGTTTTCGGGATTTGGAGCCAGACAGCTCGGACAGACAGCGTAAATGTGAGTAATGCGCAACCAACGAATCAACAAAAATATCTCCCCACTATGGGCGCCCGCCCGCCTTCGTCATGCAATTTGTTTTTGTCCAAAGCGCTGCATTAGTCATGCACAGAAGGTCGATTTTGTGCGGGGAAGCGCCACAACAGGAGGTTGGGTACTCGGCCAGAGCATCGCTACCGGATTAAATGGATGGAAAAAATCTCAGACAAGCCATCAGCAGACCACAGATAGAGATGGTGGCACAGCCACGGGCAGCAGAAAAACAAGTTGGAAAAGAACCCAAAGAAGCAGTTGCATGGACGCCTCCTTTTGGGTTTCTCCAGCAAAATCAATACCACAGCTCCCGCCCCCTTTTTATTAAAGACAGCCCCTATGACGTCACTGCGGCTGGAGTAACTTCAACCATAATTTAATGTGTTAATTATTGCAGCAGCAGCAGCATGGCATCCGGCACCACACTGCAGAAGGCCATAGATCTGGTGACCAAGGCCACCGAGGAGGATCGCAACAAGAACTATGCAGAGGCACTGCGCCTCTATGAGCATGGCGTAGAGTACTTTCTGCATACGATTAAGTGTGAGTAGTCCGCTAAATCGATCCAGCTCGGGGACGCGCTCATTTCCACACTCTTTACTCTTCCAACATCTAGACGAGGCGCAGGGCGAGAAGGCCAAAGACTCGATCAGAGCCAAGTGTCTGCAGTATTTGGATCGGGCCGAGAAGCTCAAGGAGTACCTGAAGAAGGGCAAGAAGAAACCGATAAAGGAGGGCGACGAGTCCAGCTCCAAGGATGACAAGGACAAGAAGAGCGACAGCGATGACGAGGACGATGACCCGGAAAAGAAGAAGCTGCAGGCCAAGCTAGAGGGAGCGATTGTCATCGAGAAGCCGCAGGTACAATGGTCCGATGTGGCCGGTCTGGATGCTGCCAAGGAGGCCCTCAAAGAGGCCGTCATCTTGCCCATAAAGTTCCCACAGCTGTTCACCGGCAAGCGCATACCCTGGAAGGGCATCCTCCTGTTCGGCCCACCCGGTACGGGCAAGTCCTACCTAGCGAAGGCAGTGGCCACCGAGGCCAACAGGTCTACATTCTTCTCCGTCTCCAGCTCTGACCTGATGTCAAAATGGCTGGGCGAGTCCGAGAAGCTGGTCAAGAATCTCTTCGAGCTGGCTCGCCAGCACAAGCCATCGATCATATTCATCGACGAGATCGACTCCATGTGCTCAGCCCGTTCCGACAACGAGAACGACAGTGTGCGCCGCATCAAGACCGAGTTCCTGGTGCAGATGCAGGGCGTGGGCAACGACACTGACGGCATCCTGGTCCTGGGCGCCACCAATATACCCTGGGTACTCGACTCTGCCATCCGACGACGTTTCGAGAAGCGCATTTACATTCCGCTGCCGGAGGCGCATGCCCGCCTTGTCATGTTCAAGATACACTTGGGCAACACCACACACGTCCTCACCGAACAGGATCTCAAGGAGCTGGCTGGCAAAACCGAAGGGTGGGTGCATACATCCTTGCAGACTTGTATAATCATCTAACTGGACGCTTTATTTTCAGATACTCGGGCGCGGATATCTCGATTGTGGTGCGCGATGCACTGATGGAGCCCGTGCGAAAGGTGCAAACAGCCACGCACTTCAAGAAGGTGACGGGACCCAGTCCCACGAATAAGGACGAGACCGTCGATGACCTGCTTATCCCATGCTCTCCAGGCGATGCGGGCGCCGTCGAAATGAACTGGATGGATGTGCCCAGCGACAAGCTCTTCGAGCCGGCCGTAACAATGGTAAGCATCAATCGGAACATCTTAATTGTATTCCTCATCTCACATTCTGTTTTTTCAACTCTTTGTGTGTGCAGCGCGACATGTTGAAGTCGCTGTCGCGCACGAAACCCACAGTCAACGATGATGATCTGAAGAAGCTACGCAAATTCACAGAGGACTTTGGACAGGAGGGTTAGAGTCTCCGCCCACACTCCAGCACCATCAGCTAATTCTAATTGTTGCCTATTGCATAAATTCAACACACACGTTTTCTTCGGGCTCTCCATTACCTGTTCTTTTTTTTTGTACGATAAACGATATGCGAGCTATATATGTTCGGTTAAACTTAATTCAAATTTCAATGCGATTGCAGGAGAAAGAAGGAAAGAGAGAGAAAGGGAGAGTAAGGGAGTGCAAGAGCAGAGAGATGGCTATCACCAGAAGCAGCCTGATGTTGTTGTAATCACAAAGTCAATGTATTTTTGTACTCGTAATATTAAGCAATAGAAGAGAGATCCATCCCCCATGCCACGCCCGATGTACACGACGAACGTTACGTGTTTGACAGTGTGTGTTCTGCCCGTATATGCATGTGTGGATGCCCCATACCGCAGAAGTGATCAGCAAATGAAGAAATAAAAGTAGTGAACGAAGCCAACCAATTCAAGCAACCAAGCAAACCTAATTCAAATGTAACTTATGAGTAATAAACGAAAAGTGTATACTGTACGGCACTGTACCAATCCAGAATGCATGTACATTGCTGCTTGCCATTCAACTGGAACCTTCATTAATGGATACCTAAAATTAGCACAGGAAATTCAATATTCTATGTAGAATTTTAAATTGTAAAACTGTTTTGATTTACGTGGTCAAAACGAAGCTTAAACAGTGTGAGGAATGCCCCTGCTGGCTGCTGTTAGCTGATGTCCTGATAAGCTCTTAGCGACATATCCAGCAAACGCTTTTATGAAATTGCATTCGCATGATGCATAATTGAAATGGAACGTAGTACGGTGAAGACACCTTGGGGTTCCAAGGTCAAGGTATATCAAATCAAAGGTAAACCATCCATAGAGCGACGGCTCCAGTTCGGATAAGCCACAGTTCGGAGAGCCGCAGGGAGTAGGATGATGCATTGGTTTGGTTATTGTGCCATTCCAAAAGAGGCCGCTCTGCAGGATAGCCTCTCACCTTGTAAACTACATTCGCACAGAGCTGATCGATCTACCAGATACCTCTCTCTCTTTCTCTCTCTCTCTCTCTCTCTCTACGTGCGATCGTTTCAGGCGTTCGGTTTCTTTGGCATCGGGCATGAAGCAACTATATAAGGAGGTCTCGTCGGCAAAAATTATGTAAGTAAGTGTGAGGGCACCGACTATGGAGTGTGCTGATTTTGACTTTGCTACCACAATTTTCTCTTCTAATAACAATTTCACATCTTTTGCGACCTTGCCGCATAAACTGCACCAAATCATTCTTTAGCGCACATACGGTAAACACTTGCAAACAACTTTTGTCCGCAACCAACCTTCACAAGCGTCGACAAGCAACAACGAGTAACTCTGCCACCGACGAGACCACCTTATAGTTACTTCATGGCATCGGGTTGCTCTTTGCGGCTTGCGTCGGCTCTTCGCTTGCTTCAATTCGGGGGCCGCCTCTGTCTTGTATGTTGGTGGGACTTGGGCTTCCAGTCAATCTCCAGCTGCGATGCCACAAAGTTCGGTTCGCGCTTTTCGTTTTCTGTGGCGCCGCATTTAAAGTCCCGTTACGTGAATGCACCAAAACTGCCTGCAGTGCTGCCCAAAAAGCTACAAAAAAGTACAAAAAAATAAATCAAAATAGAGAGGAAAAAGTCATAAATACGGCAAAAAGTTATCTCGGCTTGCGCTTTGCGCAACATTTTGTGGCAGGCGTAAAATAAGAAGTACTTTGCAACAACAAGTGCGTAAACGATGTGCTTTATTTTGTGGATATTGTTTTTATTTGATTTTATTTTGTGTGCATGTTTTTTTTATTGTTTATTGTCATTTGGTTAATTTGTGGTTTTTGTTTTGTCTGGGCCTGGGCCTGGTCTTTTGCGCCCACTTCTGATGGCTGACTCCTCTCCGGTGTGCTTTTTGTTTGCATTTTTTTTCCATGTTTCTCATTTGTTGTTTCGGCCGGCGGTGGTAAAGAGCGCAACTTTCACGCGCTTCAAGTGAAACCGTGAGCCGGGTCCAAAATAAGCAAAAACAAAACAAAAACAAAAACAACAACAAACATTAAAAATTGTACAAGAGGTGGAAGAAGAGAGGAGATGCGGATGAGGTGGATAAAGAAGAAGCAGCTTTATATTTTGTTGCTGTTTTTCCTTTTCGCCATTTCCACGACCATTCGCATTGTTTCATTGTTTTTGCGTTAGTCTCTTGTCCCACTCTTTAAGTATCGTTTCTGTGTCACTCGTTCGCCGTTTGGCAAAACTATTTCTGAAATGCATATTTCCATTTGAAAAAATTTCAAGCATGCGAGTGCCTTATTAACTGCTGCTGCCTGCATTTCAGTGTACAGGGGGTATAGGAGGAACACCTCCATTCGGGCCTTTCCACAGGAGATATAAACCATAGAATCAGAACATCGAGAACATCCAATAGCCCTGGTAAGAAATGTGGCAGCACAATATCTACATATATCTATTTATGCAGAATTGAAGGCTAATCAAGAACCGTTTGACTGTGTAAAAGATAAAAGATAATGTTCTCATTGTGGCACTGCTTGCAGACACTGCATTTGATGACTGAACTGCTTTGACTGCTTGCAGTTGTTAGTGCTCGACGCGACGGCATATGTTATGCATGATGAGATGAAACTTGTTTGCCCGCCCCTGCACCCTGCTGCAGCCACAAAACCAACAACAACAAAAATATGATCAGAAAAACTAAAATCACGCTGACATTGACACGAATTGTCGTCGCCAGCAACAGCCGCAGCAACAACAAACAACCACCAAAAACATAACCATCATACATATATGTACATAGTTTAAAGTTTAGGTCCACCACCACCACTAAGCGCACACAACAAATCTCTGACTCTGACTCTGACTCTGAGTCTGACTGAATTTGTGAGCGCTTACAATTAAATTGCATATACCTACAAATTCCATCAATGCCAGGCGACGAGATGCGACACGACGCCAGCAACGACCATAAAATATATTTATTTGAATTCAAGCTTAAAGTTTATTTTGGCCTGCGGCAGTTGTCGATTTTGCTTAATATCCATGTTTTCCATTTTGTATTGCATTTGATGCTGAACAAACATAATTAAACCATAGCGAACAATGACTGCCTGCCGCCTGTCAGCGGCTGCTTGTTGACTGCTTCTGTTGATTGTTGAGTTTTGATTGTTGATTGTTGAGTGTGGATTATGGCCACCGAATCGATTTGGCCTGCGGAACAAGGTCGTTTAGCGTTTGCCCCTCGCATTAAATCAAATGCAAATGTAAATAGCTATTATGACTGCTAAATGCTGGAAAATTTCCCTAAATTACATTCATACTTAAATAGTTCAATGTTCAATTTAGTGTCACTCACTGCCCAGGCCTAACGATGACAGCAACATTTGATGTACGTAACTGCTCGTTAAAGTTGTAAAAGATTCTCTTTCCCTCTCACTGCCAAAGAAAGGCAACCATTAAATGAGTTCACAACAATTAAATTTCTTTTGCTCTTGACATTCTCTCGGCAGCGGCAAAAGGCCAACCAAGCGAGACGGTGTCTGCAATTAAAGCGAGAAATTATCTTTGTTCTAATTGTGTGTGTGCCATGCTGATATCGTTATGATAATGGTGGTGGTGGTGATAACTTGGCTAATCTCTCCACGCGCATCAGCATACACCAAGGAACGTGGGATGCTGACACGTGTACATATAGTGCTGTGGGACTGTGAGCTACAGACTGCACTTTAATTACATTCCGCAACACAATCATTCTTCTATCTTCTGCTTTGGCTTCTGCTTTTGGTATATTTAATCAGCTTCTCATTGTCATTGGGTAAGTGGGCCAGAAGGTTTCGTAAGACAGCAAATGATATAGCGTAGTGCCTGATTAGGTCAGCACTCAGTTCGGTTCGGCTGGGTTTCGGTTCGGCTGTGGCTTTGTTCCCGCTCTTTCTATGAGCCGTGAACCATAACTGGTAACTTGATGCTGTCTCTGGGAAATTGTTATTCCCGAAAACTGTGTCACACACTTGGCCACTTGTTGGTACTTGGCCCATTGCATGTACTCATACATGTCTGTCTGTGCATGTAATTGTTGCGGACTGGCTATTGCTGCACTGCAACAGCAGTCTGGGTTGGCTTCACCAAACACACAACGATTTCCACAACGTATTTGATTTATGGCATATTGCTCATTTCGCTTTTTGCTGTTCTCCTTTCGTGCCATGCATCGGCAATTTGGGGATTGGGGAAGTTCTTGGGGAACCGAATACACCAAACGAGAAATACCTACAGCTAATTGCAGGCTACCAAAGCGAACAAACCAACGAGCTGGCCACCGACCATCAGCCACCAGCCACCAGACACACGAGCCAGCACGAAGCAATTCCCCTGCCAAAGACCAGAGCGGAAATTTTATGCGCTGCTGCTTTTTATGCCTTTTTGTTGTTGCTGGCTTTGCTTTTGCTTTTGCTTTTGCTATTTCTGTTTCTGTTTTTGTTTCTTTTCTCATTTGATATTTCTTGCAGCTAAAATTGGTTCGGCTTTGGTTCGGCTTTGGCTCGGTCTTCGGCTTCCTCCCTTTTCCGCTGAAATTGGGCAACAAAAACAGGAAACAACTATTTTCCATGCTGCCGCTGCCGCTGCCGCTGCCGCTGCTGCTGCCATGCGAAAATTGGCTAAGGAAATTTATATTTTCGTTTATTGGGGTTTTGGTTTTCCTTTATTTTTGGTTTTTTCTGCAATCAACATTCAGCAAGAGTCAGCCATCAGCAGTAAGCGATCAGTGGGGGCAGGGACAGGGGGCACGTAGTAGAGCAAGTTCGTTGCCCAAGTCTTTTGTATGGCAGGTGGCATTTTGCCCCCGATGTGAGTCCAAATCCACCAGTCTTTGGCCATGGGAAGGGATAGCTCAGGGTATCGTTTGATGTCTTAGAACAACAGAAAAAAGAAATAGAAACTTTTTGGGTCAAGTTTTAACTGTTCGAATATGCTTCAGTCTCTGTTTGACAATTCCTGCGGACAACTTAAACAAGAAATTGCTTAATTCCCGATGTGTTCTCCATAAAGTTTTACTATCAAATATCTGTACATAAATTTAAGCTTGACAAATCAATCAAATCGCTTCACGCGAATTTCGATTGCACAAAGATGACCAAAAAACAAAAAAAACCCAAAGACAAACGGGGGAAGACAATGCATTGCCATTGTGGATGGTATTTGGCAATGTTAAGTGACCATTGTTGGCTCACGTTCCGACTTGTATATTGGCTGGAGGCAATCCAACAGAAAGACCAACAGACGGGCAGACAGGCAGACAGGGAGACAGACAGACGGCTGGTTTGACAGACAGTTGGATGGACAGAGGGACTGCACTTTTCTTTGGCATGGTTCGGTTTTCCCATTCGATTCGATTTGCAGAGCCACTTTCCCAGCCAATTCTTGGCACGTCTCACTTTTCACCGACACCACCACCGCCGCCATATCACAATCAACATCTTCATCACCATCTCAGTGTGTACATATA